ACGTGAAGAAGAAAGAAAGAAAGAAAGAAAGAAAGAAAGAAAGAAAAAAAAAAACCCTTACAAGTTTAATTCTGCAGCACGTATTTTCCAAAATGTCACCGTAACATTAAATAGTCTAACACACACACACACACACACACACACACACACACACACACACACGATCTAAAAAAAAACACACATAAAAGGACATCATACGTAAAGTTTAACCGTTAGTTGTCCGCACGCGACTTTTGACAGCTCGACGTCCGCAACGACCAAACTGATCAGCGCGAGCGGCCATGACAACCGATACATACATATTTACATATTTTTATTTATATCGATCTATCTACAGATATATAAATAATCAATGCTTACTTCCTGACAGCTGCAGTTAGATGTTTGAGCCGCGTCCGCAAACAACCGCCGAGCCGTTAAACGACGTTGGAAACCGTTAATAACTACGTAACAAACCCAGAGTTGTGTTCCGCTGAGTTGAGCTGATAAATGACAGTGTTGCCAGCATTACTGATGTCACCTAAACAGTCGCCATTTTGTTACAATGTTGTAGTTTACATGAATCCGACATGACGCTGATTACAATCCAATGGAGTCTCATTAAACCTTACCTTACACTAATGTGCCCTCCCTAGCAACTTCAATATTGGCTGTGAAGACAAGATCCGATTTCTGGTTTGATAAAGCACATGTCAATCTTTATGTATGAGCTCACTCTAAGAGGCACGGCACTGGCTGTATGATCTGTCACTTCACTCAATTGACCCGCCTCTTAAGGTGCCTTCAGTGATGAATTGATATCATTTACCTCCAACACTCGTAATATGTGAACTTAACAGCTCTAACCGCGGCGACGGGGTGTTATTAAGTTATAAATACACTAAAACGCGCATAAAGTGGCTGAGTAACAATTAAATTAGACACATATTTAACCTCATTTGCGAAGCGTTTAACACCGGCCCACCTTTACTCAGATTCCTCCTTGAAACAGTTGGTTACACTTGAAAGTGATTTGGAACATTTTAGACTTTAATTGGCTGTTTGTTAAATCTATCATTTCTTTGCGTTATATAAAAAAAAAAAACCCACCCGCAAAAGGCTCGCTTGTTATAAAGTGAAACACATTGCGTTGTATATGTATATATTTATTTGTGTAGCAATCCCAGGTAGCACATATTCAAGATATCCTGCAGGGCTAAATGTGTCTAAGCTATCGCCTTTTTTATGCTCCCTCCCTTCACCACCACCACCTCCCTCCTTCTTTATCTTCCTCCCTTTTTTTTCATTATTTCCCCGAGAGGAGCCGTAATTCTCCCGATATTTAACATTTAAACTACGTGACGTTAAATTGAGAGGCGATAAATAAACGATAACGCTGAGCTTTTAAAAAATAAATAAATAAATAAAAAAAGTAGGTTTTTCTTTTCCTCCTTCCTGCTCGCTCTCTGCATCTGCCAAGCAGAAATTATTAACGTCCTGTGTTGCGCTGTGCAATGATGGCATGACCTCTTTATCACCATTAACTATCAAATATCTCCAACGAGGGGAAAAATAGTGAGCCCCGGAGAGAAAGAGAGACGTTCAGGGGGGAATACAAGTTAACACGACTGCTGGGAGAGTAGCTCCTTCATCACTGCTTCTCAATTATGTATCGCTAGTTTTTTTTTTTTTTAGCTCCCCCATTTCTCAGCTCTCCAGCAACTCGTTTCCCATATTTTATGAGGGAATGATACACAGCATTTTTAGCTTTTTTTTGTTTTGTTTTTTTTTTGTGCTTCCTCCATAGCGGTTTTTTTTTTTTTTGGTTACATGTTACAACAAACAAGACCTTAAAAAAAAAAAAAAAAAAAAACCTCTCTCTCTCTCTCTCTCTATGTAATCTGCCGCCGCCGTGGGCGAGAAGACACAACAAGAATTAACGACCAAGTTTCATGCAAGGATGAACATATAACTAGTATGAAAGAGAAGAAGGAGAAGAGAGAGGAGAAGGAAAAAAAAAAAAAAAACGAGGGCACACAGGCTACCGTAAATATTTGCTGGTAGTTTACCTCTTCAAGTTTTTCCCCCCCTCGGATACTCCTCTTCATTATCGGGGAAACGTCGATGGATAAATGCGCGGCGACATATCCGAGCGATTTCGTGGGATTTGATCTCCTAAAACGAAGGCTGAAAAGCTTGCGCCGAGACATGGAGAGGACCTGATAACAACTAATTGAAAGGTTAATCTACATAGCAGCCTGTGACAAAGTGGTACCCTCCCCCTTCTTCTTCTTCCACTGTAGACATCCCTACTTCAGTGTAGTGGAGCGGACCGTCGCCCCTTTAGTGCGCTCCTACAATGATATTGTCAATTTCACTTTTCCCCCCCCTCCATCAACATGTCCAGTGATGAGCCAAGAGGAACATTTCTTCTTTTCTTTTTTTTTCTTTTTGTGGTGGTGGATTAGTCTCGGCAGGCTACATAACACTTTTATGTCATAACACCCCCCCCCCACACACACACACATCTATTAACATTTATTCCCTATGGGCATTTTTCTAACTTCCATTGATGTGCTGTAGATATAAAGCTAAAAAAAATGTGATTGATTTTGACATAAACACATAAAAAAAAATCCACTTTTATTATTTATTTCCTTTCATAAATTAGCTATTTCTCTCACTGGCCAATAGTACCCAGGGCAGTATGGGATATTATACACCAACACACCCCTAATCTGCTAATTAACTTCACCATGCCTAAGGAAGAGCAATAGTTGTTAGCAATAATGTAGATCATTAAATTGTCAGCCTTTTTAGATTCTTTGCGCTCCCCCTCGCTCATTCACCAACTCTTAAAGCAGCATTAGAAATGCCAGAAAGCTCATTTTTCATGCAGTAATACAGATGTAATTAGAGAGATAATTGGTAACTTCCCATCAGATTATAAACACATGCTGTACTGTACAGGCAGCTTTAAAAGAGATCTCAAATGAAAACATTTAACCCTTATTAAAAGAAGAAGACATATTTGATGTGTAATTTGATTTGCATTCATTTTAATTCACATGTTAATAGTCTTGTCATTATGTTGTATCTTCATCAGATGCTCTTATTACCTTGATCACCTCATTGATGTTTTTCTATTTACCTGTTAACGCCTGTGCTCCACCATTTACAGCGTTAATATCGCTCAGTGTCTCGTTGCCGTTCAAGCCCTTGACATTTATTTCAATCTGCCTTTTGATAATTCGTGTTGAACACATACAAATAATAATAATAATAATAATAAAAAAGGGTTATTCCACCGAGGCGCTGTTGTAACATTTTGTTAAAGCAGGTGAATAACAGGGCGGGAAGGAGAGGAAGGAGGAGGGGAGGGGTGGTGGTTAGGATCTGATGCGTTTAGAGGACTGGTGTCATGATGGAGGCGCTGACCAAACCTGCCTGTGTCTGGGTTATAATGAATGCCACCCTGGGCCCCAGCAGGTCCTCCACTGCTGCATGGGTCCAGGGATAATTTGAATTGGAGCATGTGCCATTGCAATCTGCCCATCCCCCCTCCTCAATCCCTGCCAACTGCCACACTGGTGTTCACAAACACTGCTGCCCATCTGCGGGGCAAAACACTGGCCAGGGCCCCAGTTACTCACTTTGCCTGCGTTCAGAAAATAATATTCTGGTCGCGAACTCGCTTTTGTAGGCAAAATATCACAAAGTCAAGTTTTTTTTCCTTCTCCCGGCTTCAAAAGTTGTTAAAAAAAAAAACATATTTAACACAAAACAATAATTGAAAGGAGATTTTGTAGATTGCTGCTACACAATAAAACATTAAACGTTCCTGAAAAAGGCCACCGGAGCTCACTTGCTTACAAAACAGATAGCATAGTTTTTGTAAGGAGTACATTAAATGCACACATTTTACGTTTGTTTCCCAACCCTTTGCATTCATTGAGCAGAGCAAAAGTTTACCAAGAAAAATGCGAAAAAAGTACATTTAGTAGTTTCCTTATTGTGGCAGGCATTCTCATTACTTGATCATGGCTCCCTCTTTTTGTGTTTGTGTTTTGCCATCTGTCATCTTGAGAGGCAAATGAACCAGCTGCCATGGAGTGTGATCTTGCCCAATCAGAAATGTGGTCCTTTTCAAAGCGCATCTGTGTGAAACCTTAAAAAATGCTGATGAAAAAAAAAAGTGTCTCAAAGTTGTTAATAACATTTTGGCTGGAGAATGTTTTCACCTAGACGGCCCTGATTAGCATAACTGCATAAACTATGCCTCATTAGAGGAAACAGAGCTCTTGTGCATGGAGTGTAGAAACCCGGATTCCTTCCTGACATGCTCAGAGAAAATAAAAGAAAATATGATGTAACAGGTTGTTCTAGGGGAAAAAAAAAAAAAAAAAATGTTATTCTCAATCACACTTCTTTGTACAACAGATGAGTGTTGAATTGTTTTCCACAAAACACTTGAGACACTGCCCGACACTTCTGCTGGCCCACAGTCAGTGGGAGGTGGTGTGGGGCGGGAAGAGAAAGGCGGGGGGGGGGCTCCCTCTGATCCCCGTCTCCAACCCCCAGCGACGGCACAGCTGGGCACGAAGGATCAGCCTAATTTTCAGGTCCCTCTAATGATCGCCAAGAAGAGCAACCACTAATCCCTTAACTGAGAAAAATGATCTCCTGTAGACCCACAGTGCCACTCCAGACCCCGAGAGTCCAGTTAGGACCCAACAGGCATGAGTGTGGGTGACTGAGCGGAGCCAGGACACCAGGCTGGTCCTGGTCTCTCCACCCCCTCTACCATCACCACCACCTCCTCCCCCCAACAGTCCCCACCATAATGGAGGGTGTTGAGCTGTCCAAAAGTGATTAGCATGAGGGAGCCTCTGGCTGATTAAATAATGAGGAAATAACACAATCCCTGTGCATTATAACATTATTATTGCATTTTGTTTTTTAGGGTACTTAACAAATCTTGTGTGTTGAAGCTGACTTTGATTTGGTATAGGAGTATAAGATGAGTTTAGGATTGTTTTATTGGTGTAATAACAAAAAAACAAACAAAAAAAAACATTATTTCCAGTTTTATCCAATTATAAATGTCACTTTTGAAGCCGCCCGTAACAGCGCCCCATCCATACAGTCTGCAGCACGACATTAAAGGAACGCTCAGCTGAAAATGTGCTATAATTTATAATATGCAAGTATCACAACACTCACCCCCCCGTAGGCTTGAGAGGCTCTAAAAAGTTTGCAGCTTGCTGCTTTGTGAAGGATGGCACTCATAGTTTACATTACTAAATACACCACTTCTGTGTCTCACTACTGCCAGCTCACAGCTCAGAGGCTCCAATGGAAGTAGTGTAATTAGCAATTTATTGGCAAAGCGATAATTGTTTGGAAAATAGTCAGCACGAGGATCAACAGCGAATAAAAGTGGATTGTGCAGCAGTAATGGTTTGAGAAGTTTCTATGGATGTTTAAATATGTTTTTTTGGCCATGACTCTGGGTCACCATTAGAAATCGATTGTAACTCGAAGCTGACTACAGCTGCTGTCCTTCATGGAGGAGCGAACAATAAACTTCTTAGAGCCACATGTCCATAGAAATCTGTCCTGCAGGATAATGCACTTCACCAATGATCCATTTTCCCAAGTAGGAACCAAACTTCAGTCGCTGCTTAAACAAATAATGTAATACAGTACTTCCAGCAACGCTTCAGTGGGAAACAGAGCGTTTTGTGGAGTGGAGTGTTTTGTTGTAGTTTGAAACATACAGAACATATGGAAGTTTCTGCACGTGGTGATAGATTCTGACACTTTCTTCCACCTTTCAGACCTACAGGCGTTTGGTTTGTGATACTCAAAAGATAGATTTTCAGCAGAATGTTCCTTTAAAACATAACCATTATCATTCCAATATCTGATACCAGTACAGTGTTTGAATTATATTAAAACATCTGAGTTGCTTATTCCAGCTTGAGTGAAATATTCAAGCTGCAGCACTTAGTCCCATGCAGTTGGTTACTGTAAATAGAAAATAATTACATAAACTCCTGAAGCATACATGTACAAGTATCTTGTGGATATGACAAATATGCAGTGGTTGGATGCATCAGTGAAAGTCTGGCTTCTCTGGGAAGGTGCATCCGACCCGTCTGATGATGACGTTGGCGGAGTAGTGTCCGGCCCGGATGCACTCCTCCAACGCATGCTCTTGGACCAGCGCAGAGAGGAATCCTGGGTAGACAGAAAGTGCAGAGGTCAACCTGTAAGCATCCATCACGTGCAAAATTGTTTGGGGAGTAGTTAGCGTTAATGTGAGCCAGGTAACTAATGGTTTTGTGGAAAACAGGGGACAATGATGTTTCATCCGCAACAGGACCCCAATGATGACTGTTTTCTGTGGCGCTAGGATAAGCTCATACAGAGTAAAAACAGCAGGCTAAATGTCACGCTCATATAATCTGGAGACATTACTACATTACATAGTTGGCCGGTATCAAAGGTTAATTGGGAATGTACACAGAAATCAAGCTGTGCAGAAGAGGATTTTCATGCCGTACCTCCCACGAAGGCGTCTCCTGCTCCGTTAGTGTCCACAATATCGTTCTGGTCGATGTCCAAAACGGGGAACATGGTCACCCTCTCACCTGTGGTCAAGACACAGGCGGGCTGTTAATTAAAGTTGAACACCAACTTCCCAACCAACAAGTTTTGGCCTATTACTTCTTTGATTGTAAAAAAAAAAAAAAAAAAAAAAATCATAGGTCATTTCACACAGCTTTGTTATAATTGGAGATAGTTAACTTATTTAATTTTAGCACTTCAGCATGGCATAGTTTTATGGCTAATTAATGAGATGTAAAATAGAAGCCTTTCAGTACATGGGTAGTACATAATTAGTGTTGAGTAATAGTTAGGGAGCTCGAAGCTAGTCGTCATGGAACAGAGAACAGAGCAGCAACTCCCAGCATTTGAGGAACTATAATGAATGAATGTTTGGCATTTTTTACATGATAAATGACATAAATTGACTGATAATGAAAATTCTTTTGGCAAACAAATTGATCATTTAACTGTTTTTCAGTGCCAATGAGTAGGTCAATTCTGTCAAACTGAAGGACACTTCTGTAACTAAAATACTGCAATGTCCTGCAGTGGCTTGAATACATTTTCCAGAAGCAACAGATGATCAAATGAAAAAAATCTCAACACCTATTCTCTACTGTTTTAGGCGAGCGCTCTGATAAATTAAAAAACAATGCGAGAACAGTCACTGTAAGTCATTTCAGTTCAAAACGGAATCCATTAAATGAGGGTCTCTTTATTATCTTTGGTGGATTATATTGCTTCAATTATCAGTAGCATATGCACTTCAAAGGGACTTCCAGTTTAAAAGGAGAGAGGGGGGAAAAAAGAAACAAAAATCTACCAGATGACAAAGTCTGGAGGTGTAGAGTGACATTAAATCAGCAACTTATGTCAGAGCAATCTAAACCACACACACAATCTTCAAACAATCTGAGGGCTCTGGTGCCGACATGAACCTTCAAAAAGGTGCAGGAGACAAAAGACTGACATGTGGATAAAAGGAACACGAGGAGGCTGACAGACCTCTTATTGAGAAAAAAAGCTTGGAGTTTAAGGAGAACATGAGAAAAAAAGACGACAAAAAAGTTGTTTAATGAGGCTCCCTGCTAATCTAACAACGGCTCACAAAATATCTGCGGTACAAGATAAGACACCCCACCTTATTAATTTTTGAACACATTTCTGTCCTTGTCCTACAGGGGAAAAAAAATACACAACCTGCAGCTGAGCATATGTTCAACACATGATGTCAAAGAATTGAGTGCAATACACCGGCTATGAGGGACACTCCATCAAATTGTGGTTTGAAAATGACGTCTTTCGGAGCAGAAAGTGACTGTTTTACAGGTCAGGTACAGAGAATGTATCAGAAGAGATGGATTGTGTTTTCATAATAAGACATTTTCTCTTTAAAGGGAAAGCAGGTGATTGTCACTTTGATAATAAATTAAACTAAGACAAGAAGCCTGTCAGGCTCAGCTAATTAGCAGCATAACGACTCTGCTTAATTAATGCCACAGATGAAGAATCTTCCTCCCTCTTGAAACGATTAACCGCAATGGAAAATGTGCTAACAATAAATTAAAGTTTGTCAGTTATTCCACAGTTAAGAAACTCAAGTCGCTAGATGTGTTGGTGCTTCTGCGATGCACTTGGCGGTTATAAAACCGGATGCTTTAAAATCCGAAGCTGCTGCACTTGTTCAGCACAGATCCCGCAGTTCATTACACCCGAGAAATCAAATATACATTACTCTGTAAATATGTTCACGGTAGTTTAAACAAATGGTTACTCTCTCCAGTGTGGCAGTAAGTTCTTATTAGAGAGACAGTTTGCAACCAGGTAACTTCGTACATGAAGTGATGCCTGTTTTTGTGATAACACTACATCCAGAGGTGTTTCAATCTGTTAGACCTATTGCTATGTTGTTGCAATTAACAGTTCTGGATTTGGATTCTTATCAAAATCTTTTAAATTCACTGGTAATTAGAGGACTCTTTTGATTTTACTCTAACATGCACTCTGCTGTGTCTTATTTGCTCTTTCGCTAGATTTTTAAATATATATTCTTTAAATAGTTTTGCCTTCATTAGATAGGATAGCTGAAGATAGACAGGAGAGGGGAGAGACAGAGGGGACCACAGGTCGGATTCAAACCCATGGCTGCTGTAGCTAGGACTCAGTTTTGATACATGGTTCCAGGAAATCGCCATCTTTAAAGTCATTTATACCAAACTACATTATATTACAACTACTTATGTAAATGTAGCCACTTTCAGCAATCAATTTTCTGTATTTAAATTAATCCAAATTTGGAACCACTTAATGAACTGAATTCAGTTCAAGTCACATAAAAATCCAGCCTCAGTCTCTATAAACATCCTTATAATGTTGTAAACGTACAGAGCGTACAGTATCGTGTTCTTTAAAAGGTCCAGTGTGTAACATTTCGGAGGATCTATTGGCAGAAATGGAATATAATATATATATAGTATGTTTTTATTAGTGTATAATCACCTGAAAATAAGAATTGTTGTGTTTTTGTTTGTTACGTTACCTTAAAATGAGCTGTTTTTATATACAAAGGGAGTGGGTCCTCTCATGTTGAACCGCTATGTTTCTACCATTGACAGTTTATATAATGGACAGAGCTTCCAGGTCTATGAAGTGAGGCAAACGCAAAAGTGTCTTAAACCTGCATTCTGTGTAATGGGCGACGGGGGGGGGGGGCTCCATTTGCTGCAATAAAAAAAAACGATACCATGCAGTCTTACAGAGAAATTACCCAAATTGTCACTTCTCGACAAACTGCCATGGCGACGACCATAATTATAATAATAACAATTATAATACGACTCGAGCGGTACACCACAAATCAATGGGTGACGACATCTCGACAGGTTAGCACTTGGTTTCTACAGTAGCACAGAACAGACAAACCACTGGCCGTAGATATGGTCATTTGTGGTTTTTGTGAGTTCTGTGGCCACCATAGTTTCTCCTACATGCTTGGGAGGCGAGCAATATTCAGCTGGTTGCAATCTGCAACTTAACTAGCTATACGCCACAAAATCCTACACACTGGTCCTTTAAGTAATCACGTTACTTTACAGCTAGCTTGTAATTGTCAGCCATGCCAGAAGTGTGGTTTAAGGGATGTTAATGTCAGCCTGTCAACCACTTTGGTCCAGTCTGAAATACCTCACAACAATTCATGGTTCCCACACCTCAGAAGAATCTTTTTCCAATACTTTGGGTTTATGACTAAATGCCTGCAAAACTAATGGCGTTCCCATCAGCCTTAGCTGCATTTTTTGATTAGCAAATGCGAGCATGCATGGTAAACATTAAATGCTAAACATCGACATGTTAGCATTGTCATTTTGGGCTTGAACATTTTCTTTGAATAGCCGCTACAAATTCCCCTAACATGCTCTTACATTTCTGACTGATCAGCTCATTGTGTGAGGCATGCTGTTGTTAAAGGCATTTACATTTCTGAGTAGTGTTTATAGAAGCGTGGCACAATATTTCTCTGCCTTTTACCATCAAGACCAAAGTTTGTACTCTGCTGCTGGTGGATAGTTCACATAACCTCATTGATGCAAATAATTAAACCTGACTGACATGTTAACTCAGGTTACAGTCCAAATATTCCCCAGCCGTCTGTAACAAAGATCCAATTGGCAAAAATGACACACAAAAAAAAGCCCCTGCCAAAATATTCAGAGTCTGTTGTTACTGGCTTGTAGAATGTCTGAAAACATCACTTTCCTGAACTAATTTCACATTTTACTGTAATGAGATCGTCAAGATTATTTTCAATCAATAAAACTCTGCTGTACTTTTTTTAGTTTTTTTTTAAAACTAGAGTTTGGTTTGACAAAATGAGTAAAGCAGCAGATTGGTGGTGAATACGTAGGAGTGTAGTATGGCTTTGCTTTGACAGGTAACCTGCAACAGAGAAAAAAAAAAAAAACGGAGAATTTTTTTTTTTGATGAACTCAAATACTTCCTTCGAGTAAGCTATAATTGTGTGCTTTTGTTAATTCGCTCTTCATAATACCCTCATTACAACTCTTGAATGGTGGTGATTAAACTTAAGAAATTCTTTCAACAGGCGTCTCTTTGAAATGAGTATCAATTAAGTCCTTTATTATTGGCTATTCTTTTTAACAGTGCCAATTCACAGCACAACACTGACTGAGAAAATGCTCTCCTGTAAAAAAAAAAAAAAAAAAATACTTAGTACATCCAAATGAAACGACCTCTGCTTTATTGGAAAATGAGCATACGGAGCGTTGTTCTGACTCTGAAATTATTACATGCTTCGCTTGATTGTGTTCCAGCGCTCGCTATTGTTGCTTTGACAGAGAGCAGGTAGATCAAATAGTTGGCAGGTCATTAAAATTAACTTTGATCCTGTCACACTGTATCATCTACACAAGTAAAACAATTAATACATCATTTTAAATCCTGAGCTGCTAAGTGACTGGGAATTACACATGACTATTTAGCTAAAAGGCATGAGCTAAAGCACTCAACAGAGTTTAAGTACAACATCTTTATGTGAGAAACAACTTCTTCTTCTGGAACGTTTCCTTTTGCTTTTCAGCCAAACTCTGAGCCTCGGAGAGGAAAACAACGTTACCGCTTTCTTGGCAAATGCGACAGGTTAGGAGCAAGTTGACATTCAATCTGTTTCCCTATCATAACTAGCATCTTTGTTCACAATTGAGTTAGAAAAAAAAAATACATATGCCTGTAATTACTGTAACCACAGGCAAAAGATCATCGCCAACCAATATCCTTTCAGGCAGACATGAAAGAAAACACTTCAACGTGAGATGCCAAAGGAAAAGAGAGGCGGTCTCTCTCATAGTGCAGTATGTTAATTGATTTAGTCTATCATGAAGTATAGACCATAAACATCCTGCTTTTTAAACAGACTATTAAGATTTCTTCAAGTAGATATTTCAATAATTCTGCAACGTTTCATCTACCGTAACTTTAGAGAGAACGACAAATAAACCTGCTTTAAAAAGAGAGCCCTTCGCCTTGTAGTCAGTATTCATTCCTCATTCCACCTCATGTGATTAACATGTATGGATCAGGTTTTTTTAAAGTCGAAATCTGCCTGCTTGGCCCCCTTGAGAGCCCTAAAACTCACAGAGGAGCCGAGTCAGGCTTTATCAAGTCCTTATCAGCGATTAGAGTGGCGACCCCCGCTGAATGATCGTTTATTAGATCTCCTCACCGTTAAGGTTCAGGGCACAATGATCTTAATTACTGCTTTAATGGGTGTATAAGCAACAGCCCAGTGTAGTTCAGCAGTGTCAGTGGCAGCTAAATAAAGGGCCATTTCCCCTGCTCCCAGCTCCCAGCTCTTAAAAGGCCTGTTTGAAGCGGTGGTGTGATGAAAGGCTCCAAATGAAGGGCAGGAAAAAAAAAAAAAACAATAACAAATTGACATCTCTTTTTGGAGAATTATACCACGGGGGAAGGCATTCTCCCATCCTTAATCACTATAAAATGGTTTAACATGACATGCAGAGGCTGGCAAATGATCAAATCCTGACAGGAGGACAAATTGCAAACAAAATGAGAGATCAAGTTTATTAGAGCGCCGCCTCTGGGAAATGAAAATCTTTAATTCTCTTTTTACATTGACATTTATTTGGCTGGCATGAATAGCGATGTTCACACACACACCGATTCTGCTGCACCGACTACTGTAACTGCTCTACTGCAATGATAGCACAGTCAATGACATTTATCATGTTTGCCTTTGTAGATGACATCTGAAACACATTGTCTTTCATCCCGCCTGCATTCATCATGTATTTTATATAAAGTTCACAGCGGTGCGCGGCTCTGTCTCCATGCAGGAGCAATGTGAGAAACAGGCAGAAATTATCCATCACCTCCAGCACAATGGATGGATTCTTGTTCTTTTTAACTGTCGGGCTTCTGCTTAAAGATTTCTTTTCAAATTTTCATGAAAGGAAATGTACTTCCAGGAATTCTACTTTGAAAATGAATGTGGCCGGAACGGGTTGCCCTCAGGAGTGGAACACAGTTCACTGCACTGAACATCGATTATAAATTTTATTTTATATTGCACGCGTTTGGCAAACTGTGGCGTATATTGTAATTGTAAAAATATTCTTATTAATAGTGTGGTAGTAACTTCAACCATACAGCCATACAGCAGATACGAAGCAACATAAGCATTCATTTAGAGTTGTGTTTATGTTCACCTGATGAATCAAAGTACAAAGACTCTCCTTTTAGCTCTTTTTTTGGTCTCTACCAAGTCTTGAAGTTGGCTCTTTAGTTGCTTATTTCTGCAGTTTGTTCACTAGCTAGTTGCTAACTGTGTCTTTCTGCTGGTTGGTGTTGTGCAGGTAGTGTACAGAGGGTTTTTAGAGCTTTTTTACTGAACAACAGCTGCTTGCTCCCGATGAAAACAACGCTATGAGAGCTGTGACTGTGTGTGTCGTCACCCATTGATTTGTGGAGAGCGAACTAAAAACAGTAAATTTGCATGGCGTGAATAAAAAAAAGAAAAAGAGTTAAAAAACGCTAAAAACCTGTGTAGAGTTGAGGAGAACTGCCCTTTGACACATCACACAGTCATTTTATCCAGTGTTAATATAAAAATATTGATTATAGCCACTTTAACCTTTATTATACCAAGACAGTCTCTTGAGAGTCCCGTAGCAGTGCAGACAAAAAAAAGGAATCACACTAGAAAATATAGAAAAGACACAATTAATTATTGATTGTTTAATAACGCCATCAGTGACATACTGTACAAAGCTTCAGCTTGTAAATACTGTTGCCAGCAGTATGAAATTGAGGACATTGGACAAATGTGAAGGCAGTGTCCTGCAGTGCTAACAGTCCTGCTGTAGCTGTGCCTCTCTGCAGTCCCCAGTGATGAGTGATATGTTGGAGTCTTTACCTGAGGCCATCTCTCCCCGTGCACGACTAGTCTGAACTGCAAGGGCAACGAGGAGAGACACCCTGTGGCTCTAAACAAAGGCAAAGGCTCCCAGCAGTAATCGGAAACTATCGTCTCTCCCCACACCGCTTGAACCCGCAACCCCTGCTCAGTTATGATGACACTGCCTTTTAATGTCCCACTAACAAATATGCCCTGAATCAAAGGAAACTGGATTGATTTGAGGACCAACATTGTCAACCCTCCTCTCAAGGTCACTCTACCAGCATTTTGCACACACAAAAAAAAGGGCAGGATGTAAGAGTTGAAGCATTAAAAATTGCTGAGGACTGGCCTGGAGTCTGTCCAAGACAAAGTTAGAAGTACTTCACAAATCAATGCCTGCTCTCTGCATCCCCCACACTTCTTTTATGCTCTGAAATGACAGAATGTAGTGCAAGTATTCTTTTTTTTTTTTAACATCTGGTGTCAATATTGCAGGCTAACTTCAAAGAAATTACTGATAGCATTCGACTTTCTTCAGTCAGCGATCTACCATCTATTTAAGGCTGCGTTCTGCAGTTTTGAGATATGAGGTTTAAGTGAAGGGTAAAGATGTCCAAAAGGGGCCAAAGTTGGGATGGCCTCAAGTGGTACTTAAGTTGAAATATGTGTAGATAGGCAGACAAAAACGGGAAAACACAAATGGCCTACCAACAGTTGCAACAGTGTCGTCCTTGCCCTGGGTGAAGACCACCACTCGCTGTCTCTTCGCGTTGTCCTTGGGGAGGTTTTGGGTCTTCTTTGCAATCTCCGCAATGTCATCTGTCTGTAAAAACACCAGACCACCGGGTGAGTGTGTTAAGTTGAATGAATGCATCATGAAGAGCAATTTCTGAAGAGTTAATCAAAGATCACAAGTGTGACTGAGGGAGGTCAGATTTTTCCAATCCTGGCAGACAGATCAAGTGATAATGAAACCAGATGGGCTATGAAACCACTTCAAAAAAGATCAATAGGAGCGCTCAATGATGTTTCCATGCAGTTACAGGAGAGCTGTAAAATATTAGAATGTCATATTCCCTAAGTGAGATGGAAATAAGCGTGTGAAGATATGCTGTTGTCAGATAAAGCTACTTCTGCGAGCTGAAGGGATAGGTGGTGCGTGTACTGTATCATTCCCTTCCTGAAACAGGCCATCTCTCCTCAGCATCTGCACAGAATGGATATTCTCGCCTGGAGACGACAGAACTCTCCGGAGTGCTTGCCTTTGATCATGAGAGGGATAAAAAAACCCACACCTGTCAGTGCTACTTTATTATTAACTCATCATGATGTACTATGAGCAGGTGGAATGTCTTTATCGCCGTCTCGCAGTGGGGTGGACTCTACTTTTCCGTAATACAGCACACTGAGGAGCTAGCATTAAGGGTCGTAGACGCCTCTAGCATCTGTATCAAAGCTAACACTCGAGCACCTTCAGGGTGAGCAAATACTGTGGTTATGGGAATAATCAGAGAGATGGGCTCCGATACCACCAGCCACACTAGCTCACTCAAACCAATGAGCTTTTACACCTCTAAATGCTTCCCAAATGTCCTTTAATCAGCCCTGAGAGGTCCGGGGAGACCCTGGGCCGAGGAAAAATGGGTGTAACACTCTAAGTAAGTGCTAATGGTGAGGTTAATACAGAGGCTGTTAGCAGGCGATGGTGAAAAAAAAAGGCAATTTGTCACTGTGACTGGATGTAACCACAAGCACTCCTCCAGACACTGAATGCAAAACCACACAAGGCTTCGGCACATTGTCACCCTTCGGTTTTATGTTCGCTGACATAAAAAAGGCGCTCTACTCAGGTTTAGGAGCTAAAAGGTTCCAAGGGCCAGAGGTGGTAGGGTAAGCATCATGGCTGTTGAGCAGGGCAAGCTACACACACGGAAACACACATGGACAACTTCCTTCTGTTTGCCTGGCAGGAAAAACTTACCTGATAAGTTCCTAAAGCAAAAGAATGCAAAAAAAAAAAGAATGTAAGTGCAAAACAAATGAATTGACAAATGATATGGTCAATTTAGTTTACTGCTGACAAATGGAAATATTCACAATTGTGCGGCAATTGATCAGACATAAATCACCAAACCGTGAAATATAAAAGCTTTACAATGGTGCTAAATTGTGCTTTTGTGTTGAAGCCAGTGAGCAAGTGATCATCTCCACTGCAGGCTGTTTGAGAAACACAGCCAGGGAAAGATTCAATTAGAGCTGCGATGCAGATAGTACTTTGAGCATTTAAAGGAAACAGATCACAATCAGGCGACTGTGTTCAGATCTGCTGATTGCTGTTTTTGAGAGGACAAGCTTTTTATCTTGTGTTTACACTGAAGAAGTGCTGGTGTCATTTTTGTCATCCATAATGTGGTGATAACAATGTTTCAGAAAATGCTGATATGTCAGATATTGACTACTGGGCAGCAACTTCAACAATATCCAATTATAGTATCCATCAAAAGAACTACACTGACCAATTAACTGGACTTTTACTGAGTTTAAATTAACCTCACTGGCCTTAAAGGAGTCAGAGATACACTTCTGTAAAATGGGCTTTGTCTGCAGTTATTACTTTTTTTACTGTAAATTTGACAGAATAACAGTAATAAAATGTATTTTTTGCACTATAACAGGATAATTACTCTAAGTTTTTGTTTATTGGCTTATATAAGAATCATATTATTGATGATATGATTAAATTGTGTCATTATACGAAATCTGTTGTCAAAATGTATGATTGATTATGATTGATGTTATAAAAAGGCAACAGGTTTGTACACTTATAGTAGTTCGTTTGATAAAATGCATTCTAATTAATGGACGACAGTTAACTGAATTTAACATAAATTAGATTTTGACAAGAAATTCTTAGCACAAGATCCATTTACTGGACATTTTCTGGAGCTTTCAGCCATTCCTTAGAGGATGGAGTTTGCTCAGTTGTCATGGAGATTGTTAAATTGTTTTTTAAAGAATTTCAGTCACAGTCATAACAGGTGGTTGGATCTGATGTAAGAGACCATCCTTTAATAATCTACCGACAAACTGCTGATTAAAGCCATGAGATGTGGCTGAAAGCTCCAGAATATTGTCTCGCAGGTGGATCTTGTGCTAAGAATCATTTCTCATATTACTATTTACAAAATCTGTAACAAACCTTTAAGCTCAGGTGATTTTACACATTTAACATATTGTATATTAGGGGTTGAAAAATATGCTTCTTATACAAATTATTATTTCAACGACATCGCCCAAGGTTGCAGTTGTTGTGTGTATGTGTGAATGATGCTGTATACTGTATGTATATTGATTCTTTGAAGACTTGTCAGTGTACAACTACAGTATGGGGGCCAGTAAAATTGTCATCAGAATGTGACAAGAAAAAATAAAATAAAAAGAGAGAACTGTGAAGCATCTAGAAATGCAGTAAGTACAGTACACATCACTGATGTTATCTGAGAAATCACATTCATCCAATGCAATTTCGCAGAGTGTTCTGGCAAATCAGGTTGACATGGAAAATGTCAAAGAATTGTAACTACTAGGAGAGTCTACACTTTGCCCTTTGTGTGTTTTTTTTTTCATGTGAGGCCCCCTCCATTTCTACACCCCCCCCCATCCCTTCTCCTCTCTTAAACCTGTCACTGCCATCAGTATTGCATTTCTATTCCAGTCACGTTGATCACACCGTTAGTGATTCTGGATGACAATTATTCACACAGTGCAGAGCCATATTCAAGGCAGATCTACCTTTGAAAGAGAGAAGGCACTTAAAATACCTGAGCCCATTTGAAAAACTCACATAGACCGGCTATTTGTGTTTTTTGATTTCACATTTGAAAAAGCAGCGCAAGGAATATGCAAAATACAAGCAAAAATGTAGACCAAGGGAACATTCATTTTATACTGAAGAGGCAGCCCCATTTTAAAACACATAGTGTACATTCTATGGGGTAACAAGCACTGTAATTTTCATTTCCATAATCTAAAACCACAGGTGGCTGTAATTTGGTTATTAAAAGACTACAGTGTGTTTCAGTGTGGTGTAATGCTAAATCAGTGAAGGGAAGACATACAGTATCATCCCCGAGTGCAATGAAGATAATGAGGAGGCTTTTTAACCAGGCAACCTGATGAGCCCCAAGCCTGCAGAGAAAGGCTTGAAACCATGCCCAACTTCTCAGCTTCCCAAGAGGCTTTTCAAAATTCAATAAATAACATCTGTAGGCGATGTTGGGTGCAGACCTAGCAGAGTGCGTCATAACAGAGAGCTGGCTGAACAAAGAAACCATGACGACTGCCAGGTTTCCATAGCAACTGCTGCAAGGCCTGGAGAGTATAATAGCACATCAATCACTGTCCAAAAAGAACTTCATTATCAGCAAAAATAAACCTTTAGGATCTGTTTAGTGTGCAATTGCTGGTCAACTCACCTCAAAGCCCAGCTCTTTGGCAAATGTGGCCGCCTCCTAGAAAAGAAAAAAAAGACACACACACACACACACACACACACACACACACACACACACACACAAACACACACACACACAAATGAGCAGTTAATTACAGAGTCACAAACAGAATGTCACACTCCAGACGTGAAGTAAAGACATCTTGCTTGCCTCCTCTCCTCACATGTGCGGCCATGTCACTTGAGAATAAGTAACCTGAGTTAGTGTTGCTCTGCCAACTCCTGATTTAATAGGCATGCAGTGCACCCATTTAATCTATTGCCCCACTTCATCTCATCTTACCACGGCAGCATGAGATAACACCACGTCAGCCTCCAGCAATGAAACCACCACTGAAACCATGAATATTTGCTGGTATGTGGGAATCCCCGACACTGCAGGCATTCAACAGCCACTATATGTTTCTTTAGTCACCTAACAGGTGCACTTTAAAAAGGCCCATACCAGTGTTTATGCATTTTTTATGCTTCTTAACTACAGATCATGTAACATTGATTGTGAAAATTTTCAAATACATGATGTAGTTTTAGATTTTGAGATACATATTTTCTATCCCACTCTTCAGGCAGCCATTGATTTCCATTCATTAACAAATGGCATGAGCATTGGATGGTAAACTCTTACAACTTGCCTTGTTTAACCAAAATTCATGCAGTTTAGTTACATTTGTATGTATTTTTTTTGCCATTGGTTTCCATTCAATATTAAAAATGCATTAGTGGACTTAGACATCTGCATTAAAAGGTGCAACTTGGCAGAGTTGCTTTATTGTTTATTGAAAAGGAGTGGCAACAAGTTTTGCATTTGATTTTCATATTGTATGAAAAACCAAACCAACGGCTGCCTGAAAAATTCAACCAAAACGTACACTATGCTGCCCACAAATGTAAATTCTACATGATTTTCAAGGCTAAAACTAACACAAGTCTGCTAATTTCTTTTTATATCACACAGAGGTTAATATCAATAAATACCTGGAATGGTAGGAAGAAACAAAAATACACAAAAAAACAAAACAAAACTATACATCATGCATTGGAATATAAAAATGTAAACCAACAATATTAGTGTTTTTGGGAAGTTTCAGGGTCTGCTAATTGATTTCTCACATTGTCCATAAATTAATGGAAACCAATGGATGTAGTAGATCTAAAAACACACCAGGATGATTTGCAATACTGTTAGCTGTGATGTCCAATTTGTGATTTGTTGTAAGTAGGCCAAAACACACATAGGCACTGGTACGATCCTTTAACTGGTGACAGAAGCTGTTGCTTGTCAGGTCAAAACGATGTCACAAATCATGACAGACAACCTCTTGCACTAAATTCACTTTTGACCCCAGACGGGGCAATAAGTTGATGCTATGATTCTAAATAATCCAATTATCTGCAGAAGGAGGGCTGGTGTTTGCATGACCTTGGGGAGAGGTTGACAACCTGGTCCTCAAACAGAAGGGGAGGAGATGACATGGAACAATAAGGTTACTGGTCCCTGGAGGAAAGCCGCATGGCTCTCTGCCTTGGATCAACATCACAGCGCCAGCAATATGTCAATTCATCACCACCCCCCCTCACACACAGGGGTTGAGAGGCTAGTCAATTAGCTTCTGTAGCCAAGAATCAGTTTCATAATGAGTAAAGGTGAGTAGTCTTTTCTTTTTTTCCCTCCTTTCGTCTTTTCAATCTATTGAGGGCTTAGGTCTAACATTGGTTGTCATTTATTTACAATCACATATTGACTTTTCTCCTTAGGAACGTTCCATCACCGACCAGCATGAGGCAGGGACACGAGCAGCTTGGAAAACGTCTTGTCAAAACAGTGATATTTCATCTCAAAGCATTTAAAGGAGACACATGAATGAAGGCTGGAATAACAACAGTGCTGTTGAGCGGCACATGCCTCTATCTCACCCTCCGTCTCTCTCTAGTTAGCAGCTATAATATTTGTGAGAAAAGCCTTTCGAGAGAGTGTGGGTGTTAGAAGAAAAGATAATTGAAGCAATGTCTATGAGCCACATGTGTACAGTGTTTCAGGAATTTATTCATTTCTATGCGCTCTTATGAATGCCAACATCAAAAATATTTGGTACTATAAGCTTAGCTAAACCTAATATATTGGTTTATAAATACTGTACAGTGGTAAATATGCAATTATTGTTACTAAACAGGCAAGCCAATGAAACTGAAATCATAGGCAATAAAAGTCACAATTCCTTAAGGGGCTTACAACATTAATATTCAAAACTCTTATGTTTCAGGCTGTGTATGTTTCACATTTGACGTGAGCTGTTTTGGTACGTTGCAGTAGATGCTTTTCAAATGACAGTCCATGTGCTTCTACAGCTGTCGCAACAATGACAAGTGCTTCGAGTGACATCTGGGCAAAATCCTCTCGTGCTCAAAAAAGCATCTCGTTTGTTCGGAGATTGCTGTGATTGCATGCTCGCCTTTGATGATCCGCTCCGAGTCTGATTCCGAAAGGAGAGAGGACTGTTGTAAATTTCGGGGGCCCGTAAGTTCTCCTCCTTCTCCTCCTCGGGCAAACAAGGTAAAAGATAACAAGGCGAGCTGAGTGCATGAGCCTTCTGCAGCCATAGTTAGTATAAAGCTATCAGAATGTGTGAGATGTTGCTGCTGTCAGAGGCTTAAACAGTCAAAGGGATATTTTTAGAGAGCTTAAGCTAATAATCCAGAGCCCAGTCAGGGGGCGGGAGTCTACAATATCTTGCCAAGCAAAATGAAAGAGGAAGTACACACTTCATGTAAAGGGCAGTTTTCACACTTTGTTTTCTTTGACACTGTATGTGACAGGAGCCTAGCAGGCCTAGTTTAGAAAACGGTTTGTGCAGCCACAGTATATGAGTATTCTCTGGGAAGCTATCCAGGCTGTATAGACTTTATTTTCTTCCTTTTAATGAAGCCAAATAGCTCCATCTGCATTCAGTCTTTATCTAATAGAGGACCAAAGTGGGCATTTAGGGTTCTAGAAGTAAAAACCTTATTCATTTTGTCATATATTAAGTTGGTGACTTGCGGTTGGGGGTACTTCCGTGGCTGGGATGGACAGAAACATTAGCATTCATCAGCCTCGTTTCTGTCCGCCTGGATAATGTAACTTAGCTTTGGTCTCTACCAACTCACAAGAAGAAAAACAGGCTTTGTAGCTTCTAAATGCTCCACTAGGTTCACCAGCTGGTTGCTAACTGTGTGAGTGTGCAGAGCAGAAGTGTACAGTGGGTTTTTAGAGCTTTTTCCTTGAAAACAGATGCCTGCTGTGGCTGAAAACATTGCTATGAGAGCCATGAGAGGGAACCAAAAATGTAAAGTTGCTTGTCACCACTGGTTGTCATAATAGAAAAGGTTAGTATCATGGATCACGTTAGCTGGTGAAGTCATTTGGCGAACAAGCAAGTTAAGGTTACCCAGACAGCTTCATTTGTAGAGATCCATAGTGGACTCCATTTCTAAGCTAGCGTTACCTGGTGTTGCACACTGTTGACACTGAGAAAGGCACTCGGGAGCACGAATAAGCGTCACATCCTTTGGAATTTCCCGGGAAATCTGTTCTGAATCTTTTACATAGAAATCAGTCCATAGGTTGTTAGAGGTAACAGAGAAAGTCCGTTATGGTCCCGTTCACAAATATATATATTAATTATTAAAAATAATACATAAAATGCCTCAAATTCTTACATATGGCACCTTTCAAATAGAAATATTGATTAAAGCTGCTTCCAATAATCATAACTGATGGACTTACAATAACAATGGTGCTATACTGAGGAACACTGATCATCCATTGATCCATCATTAAAAGAAAACTGTTTAAAACTCTGAAACTTGCTCTTAAAGCACCGTGGCAGATCAGGAAAGAAAAAGAAATTAAAGTTTTTGGCCCCCATCATAAAAAATTCCAAGCAACAAACCAAAGCAGGCATTTAGTTTTTCTCCTCTATGTAACAAGTTGTTGAGCATATGTCACAGCAGGAGTGAGAGTCGAAAAAAAAAATCCAATTTCAGTGTTTCCCAAAGAATCTAAATCAAAGAGCAAACCTCAGTGCTAAGGTTAATAAAAGTTGATAAGCTGAAAAGCGTAACTCCCCCAGGCCATTCAGAAAATAGGCATTTGCTTGACCGTGTTAGCCTAAGCTGATGCTGAGGCAGAAATTGAATTGTATTTGACATTGTATGCGGGGGGGAAGAGATACTGAGGAGGGTATAGCCCTGACAAGCTATTTACAACAGCACCCTTGTTTTCTTCTTCCTTTCTGGGCATTTAAGAGCTCATTTCAAAGACATCTGAGTTTTGAGCCTACAACCATTTAATGGAAAAGTGACTTCTACAATTGTAGAATTAAGATGAAAAATAATATAGGGCTGGAAAATGTGCCTAACTGACATAGTCGACAAACTAGAGGAGAACAAATTATCAGGTCTGGACAAATGACAAATCACTTACTGTAGAAGCTTTTCAAACTAAACTGAGCATGACAGGGTCATGACATTTCAAATCATTCAGCCAATTATCACTACTTACAGATATATATAACAATAAGACATATTTTCGTCATTCCTTGTATGTAAGCGTAAGACATCACTGAGGCGAGTCAGACAGCTTCCATAAATGCCCAGTAAAAACAACATCTGGCATTCAACTCAAGCGTTTCCAGCCAGATTACTACAGCATACATTACAGGGCGGCGGGTGGGGGCGGAGAATGAATAACTAATCAAGGCAATGGCATCAGTGGGGATTGTTAGTGCCCTTGACTTGGCCTGTGGGTCACAAACATGACTCCTACTGGATGTCAGGACGCCAGCCCCCAGCATGAGTCCAGGTGAACAGGAAGCTGCCACCCCAAAGATATGTGGGCTGATAATATGATCATGCTAGCTGATAGAACCTCACTCATGCTGGGTGGAAGGAAGGCGGCTGCCTGCTACTGTGCAGGACAGATTAGGAGGAATAAATCACCTGTACCGAGCCCTCCCGTAG